AAATGAAGTTAAGATAACAATTTTTCTATCAATTACATTTGAAAGAAAGTATCTAAAGATTTTGTTACAAGTTTTTTTTTATCAAATTTTAATACGTGGAATAATGACAAGACGTTGAATTAGAGGGTAATTGTATTCAAAAAGTAGCTGGAAACGTACGTCACTCTTTCAGCAATGTCCAAAAAGGTCTACAGAAAAAAATTTAGTCATTTAAAATCACAATTGGAATATTTTACAACACCAGCACATCCTACCAACTCATCAGCAACATATTCCCCGGCATTCGAACGTGCGTTTGATTTTTCCTTTTAAAAAACAAAGGTTACTTTTTGATCCAGATGTATAATTTTTTTAAAAAGCTTTAAATTCTTCTTTTATGATTAGAGCAATCAGGTTGGAATTTGTCTTTTTCTATAGATCTGGAATTTAACATGTACATGCAGTAAAATTCTATTTTGTAGTTACTGTCTTTTTTAACATATATCCATGCCGATTTAGAAATCTACGTAAATATAACGTACATTTCATGATTTATTTTGTTTGAAAAAAACCCTTTTAAAATTTCATCAAAAAATTCATCGTTTTGTATAAGTTTTTTCCCAAAATAGATTCTCTATGTAATTTCATTGTGTTATATGTCACAATCATCACTATAAAGACAAGATTGCCTGGAATATGAGTAGGTAACATACATTTCAAACTTGTAATAATATGTAAGTAAATATTGAAAAAAGCAATTATTGACATAAAAATCATTTCAATGAAGCGTTTTAACGCAGAATATAAGAAATCGTAATGAAAAAACAGGTTTTTTAAAAACTACATGAATGTCACGTCACTTGGTAACTTATTTCACATATTTTGGGGAGCCCCCTCCACCTCGTTCAACCATTCTTTTGTGCTTTTTTCGCTAAATTGCACCGTAGCCTAGTTACTTCTACCTGTGTGCAAGGGTAAAGAAAAAAACAAAAAAGAGTAAGACAAACTTTGCTATCAACAAATGCTGTGTTTGGCCACTGAAACGTAAATAAATAAAAAATCTATTCTGAATATATCCATCCACAGTCTTTTTAATAATTTTTTAGTATGCTGCAACATCCTTTGTCAAAACACAAACATATGTGCCTTTCAGCAGATCTGGAAAAATATAACCCAAAATGCAATGATTCAAACAAAACTGAGTGTTGTGTGCCTTCAATATTTGAAATTTTTGGGGTTTTCCCGGGGTATTTGTTTTGTTTCTTTTTCTTTTTTTTTTTTTTTTTACCAATTATAAGCCTATGCATTCCTTATTTTAAATTATCAACAACAATTAAATGAATTTTGATGAAAAGTAGGATTTTAAAAGTAAACAAACTGTATAAAGGTTGCCAAACATGAATTGAAGACTCTTAAAAATTTTTCTAGCATGTGGTAACTGTCTGCCACATTTACAAGGATTGGAGGTGCATTTAGATGGCTTTATGTGGTCAGTTGTCAAATGATGCTGTGTAAACGCAATCCATTAACTAAATTAAAAAAAAATTCAGTTAGAAATACGCAAAATATACGTTACCATATGTAACGTACATTTAAATATAAAATACAAATATAAAAATCAATTCTCTTCCACAAGCGTACGTTAGACACGCAATTTATTTGTATCTTGGATATTTTACTTGAAAAAGACACTAAAGAACAACAACCAAACTATATTAAACCGGATGACTTTAACTTTTCTATCGTCAACTTCCCACCTATGAGCAATATACCTTCATCACCTGCATACGGAGATTTATATCTCAGTTGATTCGAAATGCAAGAGCATGCTCTACGTATGAAAAATTTCTTAAACGAGGTAAATTATTGACAAGCAAGTTGATGAAACAAGAATATCAACAACTTGTTTAAAGTCATCATTTCGTAAAATTTTATGGTCGATACAATGACCTTGTCAGCAAATACAATTTATCATTGAATGAAATGCTGACTGACATTTTTATAAAATTTTTAGTCCATTATTTACACACTGAATTGACCACAGATTTTTCCGTTATTTCCTGATTATGACAACGAGCACACGGCGGGTGTGACCGGTCGGCAGGGGATGCTCCTCCTCCATGGCACCTGATCCCACCTCTGATGTTTGGAGGTCCGTGTTTGCTCTGCTCTTATTTTGTATATTTGTTTAAAGGAGTTGAGATTGAATACTGTTGTTATTTCCTATCCTTCATTAAACATTTGAACTTGCATATCATAAGAAATGCATCATAAGGTTTCGTATTCAGAAATATATATCAATATCAAAATTATATTACATATAAATGACCTTAATATAATTTTTTTTTCCTAGCAGAAACGTTTTTTTCATTAATTTTATGGATTTACCGACCTCCAACTTTTGAAACTTTCCGTTGTGTACACATTCGAGTGTGTGAAAGTATGAGAATACATGAAAATTCGTGCAAGTTACTTAATTGAATTTCATGGAACGTACATTTCAGTCACCTACATTTCGAATGATCACTTTTCATGTAAAAAATAATTTCTAATAGTGTTAAACAAAACGTCTTTGCCAGTTTACAGGGTACAAGGGGTTGCTTCTCAGAGTCGTCTTATATTTTTCTTTAAGAAATTCTTTAAAGGAAGAATATAGTGTAACGTACATTTCTTTTTTTCTCTACATTGAAAATGTTTTTATTCCGTAAACATATTTATAAAAGTTGCTCAAATTGTTCAATTTCATGTTACATTATCTAAGTATGAGTTAATAATCCTTTGAAATTTCAAATTTAGCCCATCAATAAATAAAGGAGTATAGTTTTTGTGTTTGCTTGTAATGTGGTTGAAATAGAATTAAGCACAGGGACATTGCTCAATAAAAATGATTTATTATCACAAAGAAAATGTATTTATTGTTATGAAAAGAAATAGATATGATAAAAGGTTTAACTTATCAGAAAATTTTTTTTTGAGAATCAAAACTGCATATAACACAGAGGGGATTCATCATAATATTTGCCTTGGCGACAGTAAGTACATTTCAAATGCGCTACTATGTTTGAATTTGGAAATCCTTTAATCTTTTCGATCATAATTTTATGAATTTTATTCATTGTTATATGACTATTCATAGTGTTGATTTGAAAATTACATCAGTGGTATTTCTTCTAAATTATAATGAGGCACATTTTTTCCCTTTTTTAAATGGGTGATATGAGCACACCTCAGAGTTGGTTGCTTTTTGTACCGAGGAATAGACACATGAAATTCCTTTTCATTGACAACTCAAAGCAGGGGGGAAAAGTAAACAAAAGGACTTGTACAACGGAGTGGGGCTCAATTTTTTATTGTAAATCATCTGTATGACTGATCACGGAGCTAGTGGTAGAGCACTCGCTCCGCGATCGGGAAGTGGTGTGTTGTTCTCGGCCGCGACTGACCTAGTCGTTAAAATGGGTAGCAACTTTTCCTTACCCATGTGGTTAGCACTTTGAAATGAAAGTTGTGGGTCCTTCGGATGAGACCTTAAAAACCGAGGCCCCGTGTCGGCGGCAGGGTTGGCACGATAAAGATCCCTCACTGCTCAATGGCCCTGAGTGCCGAGTAAAGGTCAAAATTTGAAGCCCTTCACCGGCATACGGTGACGTTTTATATGGGTGAAAAATTCTCAAGAGGGACGTTAATAAACAATATACAATCAATCAATCAATCATCTGTATGTAAATATGAGCATGGGATTAATAGATAACAATGTACATAATGCATTAATCGTGTAAAATGCTTGGAAAATGCATCACATCTTTCCGAGAGCGATTAAAAAAACCCAGCCTTTTCGAAAAAAATGTAGATTTTATGTAGTAACCCATAAATGCATTAAATGCAACTCATTGAGCTGATTGGTCGATTTGTCAATCAAGTACATGTGAATCTATTTCGACGTCATAAAAAATAGTTTCCTCGACCTGATGATACTTGAATGCTTTTCTCGCGCACATGCGTTTAACCCCAACATAAATTTTAATTCTTCATAAATATGCATTAGGATTTTCCGGTTCTTATCCCGACCAGTACTTTGTTAATACCGAATATTTCGTCGAATTTGCATGAATGCTTCTTTTTTGATAGCTTATAATACTTCAGAAATTTTTTTTTTCTTTTCAGCTGTGAAAAAATACTTTTTAAACACGGCATACATATCTTTATTATTGATTAAAAAAAACTATATGAATTATGTTTACTTTTCTCTTTATTGGGGTTTGTGTTTTTTTATACTATTTGTATGAAAGTATGTTTTAAAAATTTCATTCACATATATGCAGCTACGAAACCTGATTCAAAGTATTGAAGGGTTTAACTTATGTGTTCTTATTGTATCTCTCATATTTTTATTGAATAGTTTTTAAATCAATATTTTTACAAGTACAGGTGTGTTTCAGACATTACTTTCAGAAATGTGTTTCTTGCGCAAAGAGATGCATTTGCTTATAGTAAAAAAATTTAAATTCATAACCTTATTTACGTAAAACCTTTTTGCATTTAAAATAGTAGAAAGAGTAAATGCAAAAATTTATCTCGTTTTTTATTTGATATTTTGATTTTTTTTTTTTTAGAAAAAATTTTTTAAATTTCTATACAAATGTACATAAGATGGAAATTTAGGTCACATTAAATTGTACATTTTAGGTTCAAAAAGGTATAATTTCAAAAAAAAAAATTGCATAAATATGACTTTCAAATTATATCAAATAGAATAATAGGAAAATAAATCATATGCTTATTATCACATCGACAGAAACTGTTCCCCTTTGAATAATCTTAAACTTAATTTCATCTGAATTTACCTGACAGATGAAACGTAATGTTTAATATATCCTATAGCATGCATTTACGATTTTGTACATTTTATCTGTATCTACGTGTGTAGTATCATTAATGAATAACTTATACATTCATGGAATTTATATTTATGGATACAGTAATATACAATTAAAAATACCTTATTCCGAAAATTGTAGAATTTAGAGATATACACATTTCATGACAATATCAGCGGAAGAATAAATCATCTGGATTTCTGGATATCCATGTATATCCCTTGAATCATAACAGCCTAAAATGCAGAAGTAATCCAATGAATATTTCTTTTTTGCGATCATAATTCTTTCTGTCTCTCTCTCTCTCTCTCTCTCTCTCTCTCTCTGAATCCACAAATTCAGCATTACCTAGAATCTTAATCCATAATGACTGTCTGTGGTAGAGGCCAGACCAGAATTCCATTACTGGTGAAGCAGAAGAGGTATTGCTGGGTAATGTATCATTATTTTTGTGACATTCGAGCTGAGCTTCAAACCAATTCAATGACATAATAAGAGACGTACTTGAGATATCACCTGAAAATGAAAAAGGATTGTCAAATTTCATGTTTTTTTTTTAGAGGAGAGGTAAGACCATTTATGTCTTTTTTTTTTTTAATATTTTATTTGTCATATATGTCAAAATGTTTATGTAATTTTAGAAAATAAAGTTATCCGGCTTAAATAGGTATAAGTTTTTTAAAAAGTTGCTTAAATCTTTTCAGTCATCTCCATATGCAAAATTCATAAAAAAAGACATGAATCTTTTTTTTGTATCTTTAAGATATAAAGGCCTAAAAAGTAATGCAGTTATGTTGATTAGAATCCACACAGAATGGGATGTGCAGCAAAAAAGGTTTTACATGTATATCCTTAACCAGAACTGTTTCTTATTAAAGTTTTTAAGAATATTTTAAATTCATTCTTTTAACTTCATCATTGATGAACCATACATATGAATATCTTATGCAAAAAGTTATAAGTAAAACAAAACCCACTTCGAGAAAGTTGTTTAGGGTACTTAAGACCTGTTAACACTCTGTGATACAAATTTGTACACTAATAATAAATATTTTCTCCAAAAAAATATTTTTCTTCCTTCAACACTTCAGATTTTTTTTATATATTTAATAGCGAAATATGCATTAAAATATATATACTGGCAAGGAAAATTTTTCAGGATTTTATAACAATCCTCACCTCACGTAACAATCAAAATCGAAGGTTACATGCTTTTCAAAAATGTTTAAAAAGAAAACATGGTGTTTACAATAGAGAATTTTTCCATGTCATATCATTCTTAAATCATCATTAGTAAACTTAATTTCAGCAAGAACAGAAAAATACAATGAAATACAAACCATTGTGTATCAAAAGCCAAGTGGACAGCAGTATTTGTGAGACAGTCTTTAGCACAGACATTTTACGTATGTCTTCCTCAATCTAAGATATAAAAATATAATCGTTCACTTGATATTGAAAGAGAATCATTTGTTCAGGTCAATCATAAGGAAAGAATGCAGAAGTTATTTCCTTCCTAATTTATATTTGAACAATGGTTCAGTATTCATTGCGTTGATAAAAGATTCATAAGAACAGAAAATATCTGATAATAATTCAGAAAAAAACTCCTTTAACATCCTTGCTAGTGTTTCTACGTAGAAAGGTTAAGTCCACACATATAATATATATCGCTGTTATTTATTAATTTCCATACATCTCAAATAATTGTTCCGTAGAAAAACAGTAAAGTAAAAAATTAAATATCATAGAATAGCAGCACAAGGGTACATACATATGTAACCTTACCTGTTTCGTGTCTATGGAACATTTCAAAAAACAGTGGTGGTATTCTGAAGGATTTGACCATTCACTCCTATATAAGTTTTAGTTTAGACGTGAATGTGGCTTACATCTTCCTGATAAAAATTACTCAGCGTTTCTTTTTAATAACTTCCTCCTACGAAGCATTTAATGCTAATTACCCTTAAAAATACTTCTTATCATTCATCAAGATCCGGGGTGTCAGTTTACCAATTTTGCAGCCAAAAACAAGAATTCAAAATATTCTTATTTGTTTTTTTCCTCCTCATTTGTCTCTCAGCTAGGTATATTATCATTTTTATCTACTTTAAGGAAAGTAATACGACGTAATATCCTGATGTATTCTTTTTTCCTTTTTGTATGATGTGAATTGTACTGTAAAATTTAATATTATATCATTGTTTGAAGTTAAAAATTCAAGAGGCTGGGGGTTGTAGCCATTTTAAGACTATTTCGACCTCCTTTAGAAGAGGAGATCCATATAAAGAAACACAAAAATGATCAAATTATAAAACTAAAATGTATGAATTTTTCTTTGCCAAATAATAGTTGACACCTTAAGATACTTATTTAAAAAATAAGTTAAATCTAGTAATTAATTTGTGGTTGATTTGTTGCCTCCTTAAACTTCCGTGGTGTTATATTCAAATGCTTAAACCTAAACCTCAAATTTAGGATAAATCAAGCAGACAATCAGAAACCCATCGTCGCAAACCACGGCCAAAATGTAAGCTCCTCTTCAATCTGGCCGTGGTTGAAGAAGGAGAGAATTCTTCGTAGCTCATTAAAATATTGACCAATGCGAGTAAAGCATTGTCGGATGATGAACTTTATCGCGACCTTTCAATATCCAATCGCAGTATAGGAAATATTTCTTGTATACCGTTGACGTCAGTTGTTGATTTCGATTGCGATGGAAACATAACTTGCCACTGACTGATATGACATCACAATACAGAGGCGTAAATATCCAAGATTACGACACTTTTTGTGATCAAGCAGCCACGGATAAAAGAGCTATATATGCGGACTCCGGACCGTGGCTCGAGACGATGTCAGAAACCTAGTTTTAAATCTTAATAGATCCTGCTTTTCTGCTAAAAAAATCTCAATAATTAACTCTAAGTTATCGATGAACATATTAGTTTTCAAAGTGATATCAAAATTTTAGAAACCCGTAACGTAACGTAGAAAAGCTTATACATGTATGTAAAATAACTCCTAAATTAGGGATTTTTTATTCAAAGATACCAGTGATACTGTGATAGTTTTTGTTGGGGCTTATTCTCAACACCAGTATTTTATTATAAAATCAAACCTTTGGATTTTCAGTTTTAACACATCTTCATGGACACAAGCTACATTTCTTTTAAGTGCGCCACACTTACAAGTCTAGCAATACTCTTTAATTATAGACTATAATTTATCTAATTTTCATAATAAAAAAAATGCACAATGATTTTCGAACGTCATCCATATAAACAGTAATGCATGCGTTTTTACATTCTTGTTGTGTTTTTGAATTTGTACACACCGTTGAAAAATTGTATAAAATTAATGTACCAATCTCAAATCAATAAACTAAATATATTTCATTAATTTTGAGTTGATTTAACAAATGTTTTCTTTTCTCTTACGTCATTTCAACCGTAGTAAACATTTTTGTTTGATTGGACGCTGTCCCGTTAAGATGGCCGACGTCGCTTTTTCTGTTGATTTTTGACACATACTTGTTCATGTTGTTAGGGTTTTTGTTTAGTATTTTCACTGTTTATATAGTTAGCGATACTGACAATATCAGAAAATGATAATAGTTTGTTATTTGTGTTACATATAATGTTTTTGTTAAGTTTTGACTTGTTTTATATAGTTAATAATCATTTTAATCGGAAAACTTTATGTGAGAATTAATGGAATTTTAACTTTGATCCGTGCTCACTATCTGCGATTTTAATGACCCCGATTTTTACATAAATGATAAGTTCAATGAATAGAAATTGAATTATTCTGACTTGTTTTTTTTATAAAAAAAAATGTTTTGATATACAATAAATTTCTACAGAACTATTCATTTTAACAAAAACGTCATTATCAACGAACATTTTGGACAACCTTCGTATGTAAAATAAAGATATAGGAAATATATTTGTGAAACTCATCACGACATGTTTAAAAAGTTATAATGTTTGCTGAGTTTGCCCTGTCGTTACGTCATAATTTTTAACTTGAAGATCATGACATCTATCAAATGACATAGGAATAAATTTTACTCATCAACAAAACAAATATCTTAACAAATAGTGATATGTTCATTTAGAATTTCCTGAATATTGTATATAAGGAGATATGGCACATTCTGACCGGCTGTAGTATATGAATATATGAATGCATGCCTCTTGACATTCAAATATATATTATTGATATTAAATATATTATTATTTGAAACAAAATCATTGTCAAACGGAAAAAAAATTCATTAAATTAAGTACAATACAGAACTTTACTTGTAAATGTTTCCCAGACTGTATCCCTTCTACATTTTAATCCCTTTAACAAAAATAACTTTAGTAATCTATACTTTACGATAGGAGATACTTTGATTTACAATGGAACTTTACTTTAGAACAGTTTAAAGATTAAGAATTTTAATATTACCATAAATTTATCATATTCAGGATTTAAGTTTCTGAATAGTATGTACATTTACTAGAAAAGTTTCTTTCAATAAAAGAAAATTAATTCAATTTAAAAAAAAAATACATTTTACATACATACAAGTATTTTGATTTACCAATGCTAAAACTTAAACTATAGTTGAATTGTATGCAATGTACTTATACTTTCGTTTACTATAGTTTACTGTGATAATTTTTGTTTGGGCTTATTTTCAACATTTTTTTATTAAGTTAGGTAAATATTTCACATTTTAAATCTTTTTTAGGTTACCGAATAGCTATCACGGAATGAAATATATGGAGATAACGAACAGTACTCATGCTCAAAAGTCCATTAACTAATACAAATCATTAGCAGAGCAAACAATAAAAGAGATAACGCGAATATTCAACACATAAGTAAATATATCGCCACGTATCTCAGGTAACAGAAAAAAAAAAATTGCGAACAAAAGTTTGACAGATACTTTCCCTAATACTGTTGTTGGGCTGTTTCCTCGATTTATAAATCGAGATCTCGAATTACATAATTCGTTTTTACAGATTAATGATTCGAGATTTCGATTTGTAACATCAGTATAATGATTTTGGCAATTCATGCTCTCGAATTCCATTAAATATATACATGTATACGAACACATCCAACTATTTGAATCAATGAATGCTTTCTATGTATCTGTTTCAGCAAACGGTCGTTCTGAACCTCTTTTATAACTAAGTCTGTATATATGTTTTGTAGAAAAAAAACATATTAACTTTAACTAGGGCCTTCAAAGATTCTAATATACAAATATCAGACTTTTGTGTACAAATATCTGTACTAGAATATATTTGAAAAATGTTCATGTAATCTTCTCATTTTGGACCGTAATATGTAATAAAAGGTAGAATGTAAACTACTACAATATTCTATTCATTTCTGATATATACAGATATATACAAAATAATAGTAATATTAATGAAATCTTGCGAATGGTTTACATTCCGAGGGAACGAATTGTTTAAACTGAAAGAATGAATTACAATCCGACGTAACGGATTGTGTAATTTGAGGGAACGAATTGATAATCTGTGAGAACGAATCGGCAATTCGTTATGACAGATTGTCAATCCGAGAGAACAGATTGTATAATTCGAGAACTCGGATTACTTTTATACATTTTTTTTAAAATCCTATGTCCTTTCATGGCTTTTGTATAGTCAGCCTCTATAAGTTGATTGTTCACTTTTATGGAACATTCCTCGTATTGCTGCTCTTTTGAGGAGTTAACGTGATCGTAATCATTTTCACTTATACTTTTGATTTTATACATCAACGGAAAATAGACGTTCAAAAAACGTGAACTGTTTCAATCAGAATTTATTTTTTAATAAAGCTATTTATTATCAAATAACTTAAATACTTCTTGAAATAACTTAGTATTACCCACTCTGTAGTGAATAAATTTTTTTCCCAGCGATGGACAGTTACGTGATCAATGTCAAGTATGTGTACCGAATGTAAGTCATTAACAAAACATACTTTGTCCTTTCTGGAAAGTGTTGCTGCTTTAAATAGAATACCTGATTTATTAGTAAAAATTTCAAGCAAATAGGCTAATGTCGAAATATATTTGACCTTTACCAAGTATTTTGTGTACTTATAAAGTTATGCTCTCGATTTAGATAAAGCAGCAGCACTCTGCAAGTTAAGGGAAATATCCTTTATAACCAAAAGTAAGTTAAGATCTACTGACTGTATGCCCTTGCGAAAAGGCAATCTAATAAGGTACTTCGATGATAAACATGACTAATCTGTACGCATAAACACACTTTAATTAATTAGATACACTCTCTCGATTATTATTGAGTAATTGCACTAAAAAACATTTTATATTGGTATAAGTAGTCTATCTAAAATCTGTAAGTAATATCCTGTTTATTAGTCCCCTACCGGTGAAACTTGAGGGGACTATAGGTTTCCTCTGCGTCTGTCCGTCTGTCTGTCTAGCTGTCTGTCTGTGTGTCTGTCTATCTCTCTGTCCCGTCTGTCTGTCAGTCTGTCCCACTTGGTTTTCCGCACTTTTTCTCTAAATGCTTGCAGATATTGAGCTGAATTTTTGTATGTGAGTGTATCGTGATGAATTACAGATCAAGTTAGAATTTCGCATCGCTTCATTGATTTTTGATAGAATTATGGCATTTTGAATTTTTAAGATCGGGTTCGTGCTGCGCTAACTTCCGATGGTCGACATAAATATGAAGCGAGTAAAAGACGTTGGGAAAAATGAGTTGAATTTTCATCTTGATGTGGATTATTTTATTAGGTTTTAGGCATTCACGACCTAAAAAAGTCATGCAGTTTTACCTTGGATATAGCTTTTGCATATTACATTATGACATCC